AAAAAAAAAAAAAAAAAATGTGCCTTTAAACTGGCGGAGTATAAAGATTTATCAGTATTAATATACTGTGCTTCTGATAAGAAAATGAAAGAGGACAACAGTATATTACCTTTTTGGATTATTATAAATTATTATGGCTCCAAGGTGAGTGTATTTAAAAATCTAAATACACCACTGTTTACATTGCTGAATTCTGCATAGATCTGGTTTGTTTACTAGTAATAGCCATGACATGACATCAGCCATGAACTTTGAGGATAAGAGCTGCTGAAGTTATGCCTTAAATGATTAGGTAGAATTTATTATAGCGATTTAAATAAACAGTGAGGAAGAGTCATCATTTTTTTCCCCTTAAATAAGCAAGAGATGATGTTTCCCATTTGTAAGAGTAAAAGTTCAACCAGTAATAGCTGCAGCAATAAATCTCCGAAATGTCAATCATTTGGAAAGCATACTATTAGCTTTATAACAAAAAGTCAATCACTTGAATGTAAGCCATTGATTTAATGTCTGATTTCAGAGGCGCCATCTATTTAAACAGCTGATAAATCATATCCATGTACAATAACTTCAGCAGATGTTTTTTTATAATACAGCCAAGCACCTTGTAAATTACCAGGTGGAACAACGATCATCAACCAGTTGTTGCACTGAGAGATTTCAGACAACATTAAGCCTTCCCATTTACACTGGCATTTACTTTGTCCTCCATCTTTTAATTAATTGCACATTAACCGATCAGCTATTGGAGGTCTTCATAGTTTCATAGTTAGTATGGTCAGAAGGGACCTGAGCAGATCATCAAGTCCGACTTCTTTGTTACTGGTCAATGTCAACTGTCCTTAAATAATTTCTGTGTTATGTTTCTACCTACTTATTACAGATTTTGTGTGCAGTATATAAAGATCAAACAACAGTTGCTGGGAGGAACTATGGCAACTCCATGCTATGGGAGGCTGCTCTATTTTATGCCAACTATTAGCTTGGTAGGCAGAAAAGCCCAAACCATGATGTCATGTTTCAAAAAACCCCACTCAGTTGTACATATCTCATGCACAGTGTACAGCTCAGCTTAGATAAAGAATGAGTCTCTCTCTTTTTGTCTGGTCAGTAGAAAGGATCTGTATTTGGACCTAAAACGCTTTCCACCTTTTACCTCTAAGTGATATGTTTGTGGGTTTAAAAAAGGATTGAATATACATTTAGACTCATTTATTAAAGATACTTTTTTCCCATTTTGCATTGCACCAATTTGTTTTTGGTCAAAGCCCCTTGTTTCAAGTTACTCATATCAGACCTGAAGTGAATGAGAACATATTATTTTCCCATAGTTTCACAAGCTTGTCAATGGACACACTTAGGAAAGCCTTGACATAATTCAAGACAGGGATTTCTATGCAAGACTATAATCAAGATCTTTAGGAAAAGAATAAATTAATTCGATACTCTAAAGATAGTTATTTAACAATTATCTATTAATGCCATGTACCACAGACAATGGCCATATTCAATTTAATCCAACTTCAGAGCAAGACCCAGGATGTCATCTTCCCACTGTACTCAGCCTTGGTGAGGCTGCAGCTGGAGTACTTCATCCGATTCTGGGTTCCACAATTTAGGAAGGACATGGAGAATCTTGAAAAAAAGTCCAGAGGAGAGCCGAGCACATGATCAGAGGTCATGAGAACAGGCTGGACATAAGGAAAAACTTCTTTACTGTCGGAACCGCCAAGGCCTGGAACAGACAGCCCCAGAGGTGGTGCAAGCACCTATTCTTGACACTTTCAAGAAACATTTGGATGTTTACCTTGCTGGGATCCTTTGACCCTAGCTGACTTCCTGCCCCTTGGGCAGGAGGCTGAACCCAATGATCTTACGAGGTTGCTTCCAGCCTTAATGTCTATGAAATCTATTGTAGGCTTGATCTTACAAAACGAATCTGAATGAGGTCCCCCATACGTATCAACATAATTGTTGTTACAATATTAAAAGCACAAATTATGTCACTGATCTCGATCAGCAATCACAATAATATGTTTAAATGGAACACCAACATGTGTTTTATGTGCACACACCATTTTTGAATCACCTTCATTAAGTTCCATTTTCAAATTCAGATCAGTAATCAATTGCAGCTTTAAAAAGAAATCCATGTTTTTAGACTTGAGTACATAGGACCACCATTTTAACATCATTTTCATTGGCTTGACAAACATTTAACCAAAGTGCAGGTTAATTTAAGACCAATTAAAAACAAAACACACAAAACAATCCAAAACAGACTTCAAAAGATACTTTACTTAGAAAGATGTCACAGGAGTGCCCTTTTCCTCCTTCTTATACATGTGTCCAATTATAGTTTACATCCAAACACATTAATTAGATGGGTGAGTAGACAGCCCATAGGGAAAACCAATTTATTTTTAAATAAAAAGCTCTGGCTTGATTGCAATCAGTCCTTGAGAGGTATGCAAGATGATATCACCCTTAACTATTCCTCTGTAACCTCTGTAAGCATGATCTATCCTTTGCCTTCCCCTGATAATAGAAAGGCACATGGAAGACAAAAAGCAATGGTTTACTCCCCCACACATCAGCCCCTGCAGCTGGACTGTCAAGGAAACACTCAGTTAAATTCTTAAATGTGTCACAAAATAGCAATATGCTGTCAAAGTTGTGCTGAATGCCATTCTAAATACCATGTGCATTGACAGTTTAGCAACAATTCTGCACTTCTTATATTTAGGTATGTGGGTTTTTCTTTGATTTAGTTTTGTTTTTCTACATGGTGACATGCCATGATGAGTGTATGTTTCTCCATCCATAAAGTGAAATCACTGACAAATCCAGATGTCAGGTTACTCTTGATACATCAGAGTAAATATTGGTTTCCATGGCACCAAGATGTGCTGGGAGTTCTCTTTTGTTTTAAATGCTCAAGGGATTTTATAAAATCATTTTCTGTGGCAAGAAAAAGATTACTACACATATTTAACTGTCATAAGATAAATGCAGTGATAACCAATGGCAATCTAAACATCAAAGCAAACAATGATCTTGTTTATTTTTAATAGAAACCATTCTGAAAGCCATTGGTTTACTTCAAAATAATCTCACTCTCTATCATAAACTAACAGCAGGAAAGTCTAATAAAAGAAAGAGTCCCTCCAGAGGAAACTGGAAAAAAGTGGGCTTTTTATGCATTGTTAGGGGAGGTCAGCACAGCACAGAATGTACTTTCAGAAGCCTTTTGGGAATTTAGTCCCCAGCAGTAAATAATGTAATGATTTTAACCTTGAATGGAGCGTCACACAATATTAAGCCTAAACATATTAAAAAATGGGGGAAAAAAGTAACACAGCATCATAAAGTCAGTATCAATTTCACTAGTCTGTTTCTCATCACATTTTGATATACTGCAAGCTAGAATTTGATTATGTAAGAATGACTTTTGGGGTGATAGTTACTATAGTAATTCAAATATAGTTGTTTGCAAGATATTTTGCGCAAAATACTTTGTCACTCAAAGCCAAGATTAGTGTTTTTTGCTCTATTTTACTTAATCCTTTTATGTTCTGTCAGAGATATGAAAGTACAGGTTTAGAGCTAATTGGCTTAGGTCTAATGATGCTTCACGGAAGTGTGACAGACAGAAAAACAGACTTACCTTGAATCCAGGTATTACAGCAATAAATATGGCATCTTAACTTCTTTCTTGAATCCAAAATATGCACTGTAAAGACATGAGATGTGCAAGTAATGAATTTTTTCATGTGAAATTAAAGTATTATATGCATACATTGAGTTTTATTATGCAAATATGAAAAATACATATTAGAAGGTTCCAGGTGCATCCATAGGCATAAAATGGCCATCTAATACATCCCAGATTAGGAAGGGACATAAGAGTAATGCTAAACACAAAATATGGCACGCAGTTTCCTTAATCCAACAAGTTAAAATGAAGATATTTGTGTTTGAAATTTAACACAGTATTATCTACTGGGATCTGTTTTTTCAGTAGCAAACAGCTCCCACCAAAAGAAAAAAAAAAAACCTGGAAGTTTGGTCACTTACATTAAGTAGCTAAATAAGAGGTGGGACTTAAAATCTGGCTGCTTCAGGTGGTTGCCATGCTCTTGACAATTTCATTTCAGCAAGGATCTTAAACACAGGCTTTAGTCCTATTGACTGGAGAAGCGTTATCTTAGTTTGTGAACTCTAGCAAGGAGGACATATTTTATTTAGGCACATGTTCAGTACAATGGAGGTTTGAATTTCTGATGGAGGCTCCCAGGCACTAGCAGGGTAAATGTAACAAGCCAGACATTTCACTGACCTTGATCCAATACGAAAAGTAAATTCCTTCCCTCCTGTCTCCTCCCCTTCCCCCATAAACGACAAAGTAATTTGCCACAAATTTTCAATATGATGTTTTCCCTCTCATTTTTCCCCTTTTCTCTTAAAACTAAGCAACCTCTTTCTTACAATACTGATTTATTGAATTTTACACCTTTTCTTCATACTTTGAGAGGTCCCTCGATTCTTTGTTACAGTTTCTTTCAGTCAAAGAATATGCAGGGAGAACCCCAAAATCAATGAAAAACAAGAGTCATCCATGCTTCTTTTAGGAACAGAAATAGGGCATTCTTTTTATACCCTGAGACTAGTTTTTTTCTTCTTACAAGCTTTTATCAATGCTAAGCTGTTAAGAATACTCATGCTCTCAGCAGAAGCAAATACAATTAATCAAAAATGCTCATGCTACCTTTCAGAAAAAGAAGCTCTCTTAGAAGTGTTGCTCTCAAACCAGATGCTTTTGCTTCATACAAAACATATTTCCATAACTGCAATTTACAGCAAATACTATTACAAGTGATAGAATCACACACACGCAGTGATTACCTATTGTAATAGAAGTAGCTGTAGACTGGTTCCACCCTAGGACCATCCCCTTATGTCCTGGTACAGTTTTTCAGGCAGCAACATCTTTGTTCCTCCCTCAGCTCATAAAGCAATTATTGGGCACCACAGAAATGTAAAGCCAATGTCCTCCCTATTCAATGTTTGCTCTAGTACATGTGCACACACAAGCTGATTTTAGCCCATCAGAATGCATATAATAATTCAGGCAAGCACCCTCTCCTTTATTCAGGAGGCTCCTGGAATATCTTCCTTCTCTTAAACTCTGGGCCAGAAGGGAAGGAATTAGCTTCATCAAGATACTGTCAACCTAATATTTTAACTAGTCTTCTAATCACTGTCTGCCCAGGTGTGTCAAAACCTAAAACACCCATTTGTGGAGCTTTGATTTCTTTCCACTCGAAGGATCTTCAGTTCTTAAATAAACAATTGCCTGATTTTCCAATAGCCAATTTGCTTCCAAACACTAAGGGCTGATCCTGCTCTATTAGATGCTGTTACATTCTACAGTTTTACTGTTTAAAATGGGTTCATATCATAATAATATCTTAACAGAAGAAAAGGGGTTAACTGTATCAGGAGGCAGACATATAGGAAACTACAGAAGTGCTGAAGTGGGGAAATGAGCCATCAAGAGATGAATAGGCTAATTTGCACATGAAGACCCAGAATAACACCAAATGAACAGAGACTGCCTAGTGAGTTAGCCTAGGCCTGAATTCTGCCTGCTCCACTGTAGCTGAACAATACAGTTTGATTTTGGGATGTTTCCCTGAATATGACTCTGGGTGCATCCCATCCCCTTGCAGAGGAATAGTCCCTCTCCAGAAGATAAGCCAGAAGGTAGCTCTCCCCTTTTAGGACTGGTGAATTTAATCTGCAGAGTATGTTCTAAATTTAACCATATGTATTAGTGGAATCACTGGCTAGAGTGGACTAGCTTTAGATATGAATAAAATAAAGAAGCCAGCTGTGGAATTGGAGCAGTTCCACAGCTCAACTGAAAATGTTATCCTGCCCTCAAAAAGTGAACAGAGACCCCTTTATAAGTTTATTTGAAAACAGTAGAACTGAAGAGTTCCTCCCCAATTTCACAATTAAAGGTACCTGGAAATGAATTTTCTGACAATAAAAAGGTACCAGCTGACATACTGGAGTCTGTTCACACAACACATATTATACAATCAGCAGTAGGAGCCTGACACTTTTACAGGTCCTAGCCTGACCTCACAGGATCCATATCCAGGAGAGAAAAAGAGATTTGAGTCTTATAAGCATTTGCTACTTAGCCTTTTTCTTGAAAATGGAAGTCTGGCACTAGCTTGTTTAGCTGTGAGGACAGTTTTTATTATCTGGATACCAGCCCAGCAGTAACAGGACTGGGATCACTGACTTTTAAGCAGGGTAGTGAGCAGCCATGGTTGTTCATTAAAAACAAGTTTACAGAGTGCCCCAAATCTTGTGTTCTGACTGATGTCAAGAAATGCAAGACAAGTCTTCCACACACCATTGAAACACCCTACACTTAACGAATAGGATTTATAAAGAGAAGTATGCAGCAAATAAATGTTTTGAATAAATGGGGATAACTGCTATTTTTATAGTGCCCAAAATTTTGCTAGCTAACCCAAGACAAAAATAAACATTTCATAGTCCTGTTCAAAAGAAATTACAGATGACAAGCCAGACTGTTACTCACGAATAGAGTCCTGCCCACAGAGGCTGAACTGCAGTATATTGCATAACTATATTACATGCGACAAATTTGGGAGACTGGCAGAATCAAGGATAATTATTCAAAATGAGGGGGCAGGCGCACATCTCAGGTGTTAAGGTATTGATATAAATATCATGTATTTAGAAAGCTGAATTACAGTACTTCTTGTTGGCAATGAGTAAATTCTGAGATTTGAAAGGCCTTTCATTAAATCTTGGCAACAGAAATATGTTATTCTTTTGGCATTACAAATATTACAGATAGATAATAGCAGCTGTAAGAGCAATGGTTTTGGAACTTACTGATAATAGCTCATTCATATGCTCTCTCAGGTGAAGTTCCAAAGCCTTCACCTCCACATACAAATTTATCCAGTTCCAAAAACTAAAGTTTTTTGTTTGTTTGTTTGTTTATGACTAGTTCATACAGTTTACCTATTTCCTGGGTGGATGGGCTGATTAGAAAAAGAAATCATTTCCTCAGTATTTTTGCTCACACAGAAGTACTTAAAGCATACATTATGTTCATTCCTTTTATTTCTGGTCAAACTACACCCATTTTGTTCCTTTTCCATCACAAGTATAGGAGGCCATATGGATTTATTCTCAAATCTGCTACTGAAGTAGAAATACAGCTTCAATGACAATATTTTTTTCCAACTTATACTAGCAGTGAGCCAAGGTGTCTGTTGAAACACTCTCCAGCCCAGTAACACACATTCATATATTCATAAATCCAAGACTAAAAAAGCCAAGCCAGTTTTGTTTTTATAGGGTGCAACTTTCTGGTTCTAGTCATTCCAAAAAAGTCTTATTAATAATATTAAATAAACTATTTTCCATTTGTAAATTATCCACAAAAAAGAAAAAAAAAATCTAAGATGAACTATTTGTTTAAAAATGGATATATTTTGTGGATAATTCTTAACAAAACATATTAACTATTGCTTACAGGCTGATTTTCTTTAGGAAGATTTATAACAGATTTTCACAGAAGATAGAAAATAAATAGGAGATATAGACATGTTTAAGGTGCCTAAAACCTTATCAGAAATGTAGAAAAATCTCTAGGAAGTTTAAAATGCATTCCTCTTCTTTCCGTCAACTCTAGAATTGTTTTTAGGCCCTCTTTTTCCTCAAAGTCTTAAAGTTCATTTATAGTGTTAGACATTCAACAACCTGTTATTACAACTAAGGCACAGAAACAAAGTCCTGTTATCATTCACTAAAAAACAGATGATTGACACTTTTAGACCATCATATCACGTTCCATAAAATTGTGGAATTAGTTTTCTTTACATGCAATAGAAATGATGTTGGCTGCTGCCAAGGTGCAAGAGCTTGAGCCAGGCATATGGGCATGAAAATATTGATTATGCAATAAGACTGGCAATTGTAATCTGGGGATAAATTCAATAACTGGAAAGGGGATCCCAGATTTCTCTGAAAAGGCTGTTTGCATTGTTCTTTACCCTTAGAGGGAGGGCCTAAACAAGTCCCAAAGCTCTGAGTGAAGCTGTTGGAAACACCAAATTTTGCTGTGTCCAATTACATTATAAACTCCTTCAAAAGCTCTTGAAATACAGGTTGTTCCCTGGAACCACATCTTTGTTCACTCATACATTTGAGTCCAAGCCAAAAATGTATTGCAAGGTCCAAGCTCCAAATTTGTAACAAAAACCTTGAATCTGGAAAGTTTTGCAACAGAAGAACTCTCAGATGTCTGGAGACATGTCATCTCTTTCTATCTATATAACTATCTTTGCTGACTTTTTTTGAATTGTTTGTGTTCAGGCTCTAGGGAGTTTAAATTCTGACAAACTGATTAAAACTGGCACCGGATTCTGATAGACTAATTAAGTCTGGCACAAAATTTCATCTGTAAAGCATAAGTGAAACATATTTCAGCTAACAAGTTGAAGGCAATTAAATAGTACAGCGGAATCTTCTTGTAGAGAAGTCATTCTCTTCCACAACAACTTCTCTATCAGCATATGTTCACTATAATTGTAACTGCTAGATGCAATATCTTCCAACTGCAATATGGTGAAACACTTTAGGATTTGCATTCCACTTTCCTGGTAGTTTCA